GATGTGGTGTAAAATTCCAAGCGAGCATGACAGATAATCTGTCATTATTGATGCTAATGACAGCTCAATCAAAGGCCATGTGGATTTTTAGCCAAAGTGTCAATCATTTGCCATAACACAAACGCTTTGCTTCTCAGCTCACTCTCTTTGTTTGCAATGCCAGCAAGAATGTGAACCCATGTGGTGGTCCAATATGACAGCAATGATATGATAGTTGAATATTTAACTTATGGGTTTAATTAAATTAATTACTTTAATTATTCATGCTCTTTGGTTAGAAATATAATTAATCATTTTTATCTACATGGGTTTGTTTGTTGCAGATATTACAACAATGCCTATTATGCTAGAGTTGGAGGGATCAGCACAGCAGAGATGAACCTTCTTGAGGTGGACTTCTTGTTTGGTTTGGGCTTCCAATTGAATGTCACACCTGCAACTTTTTACACCTACTGTTCTTATCTTCAAAGAGAAATGTTGTTGCAATCTCCCCTGCATGTAGCAGAATCTCCTTTGAATTTGGCCAGACGTCTAAAGCTTCATTGCTCCTTCAATGAAGATGAATCCGCCCATCAAAAACAGCTTGCTGTTTAGTCCCTGTCTTTTTCTCTCTGTTTTGTTTAAAAAAAATCAAAAAAGATTTGGAGATGTGGGTTTATGTATCACTTTTGGTCTATATGGGCTTAAGCCCATTTGACCTGAGCTTGGGGTGTACAATTGAAAAGCCCATATGGTGTCAAAAGAAGAAGTCAAAGCCTTCTCGCTTGAGGCCAATCAAACTTGTAATGCGCTCAAGCTTTTGCTTTGCTTGTGCCCACCCACATATTTCCTATGTACTTTTCTTCTGATTTTGACTTTTGTTCATAAATTTTAGTCTCTCTTCTTTTTGGTACTCTCGATATGGTGGTTTGTTGTACATATGGAGAATTTGTCTTTGCAGTTTGGTTATGACGCAGCGAAACTAACCGGTAACAAAGGGATCTTAAGCGGTCACCTTAAAGGTTGAGGAATCCACAAGACAATTAAGAGAAACTCTTAAGTTCACTTGAATAGTTCTACCAAATTAGGGTTTGGAAAGAAACCAAAAGGAAATTATGAAAATAACCATAAAACTTTAAATCTATTTTTAACCTAATAAACCATATTAAAATGCAATTTACCCTTATGTCGTGGCAAAGCAATATAACTTGACTTCGTCTCGTCACTCTCGTATCACAAGTCCATACACTAGAAAGTCCAAAAATACTATTCACCATAAAATCACTATTCAACCAGGAATTCCGTCCTTAACATAAATCCTACTTTATATCAAAGAGTGACCGATAGTCTATTGAATATACAATTGTGCAACTTGAAAAAAATAAATTTTTTAATTATGCGTGTTCATGCATAAGGGAAATTAGTTTATCCACTATACATTTTTTAAAAAAATTGAGAAAAATGTTCTTGACACAACGTAAAAGAATCTTGTAAATTAAAACCATGAGGTCTAATATATGATGGGGAGAGTAGATTATATTGCAACTCATCAAAGTATGCACTACATCGACATATTAAATATACTAGCAATGCTTTTATTACATACATATAAAGCTTACACAACACGTGTACCTAGCTGTAATACTTATCATAGTGCACCGGGCCTGGAGGTCATGACAATCATGAACTACTCCCAGCCAATATCTCAGCCATGGTTGTTTCCTCCTCCTCCTCCTCCTCCTCCTCCACCCCAACCAGCGCCGCCCCCGGAATTTCCATAACCAGACCCATAGCCACTACCGTGACCTCCACCACCCCCAGACCCAGAGCCAGAGCCAAACCCAAAACCAGACCCCCTCCCAAACCCAGCGGGTGATCTCCCAGACCCAGACCCATAACCCCACCCGCCTCCTGGGGTCGCGCCCCACCCCCAGCTGTAGCCCCAGTTGGGACCGTGGGCCGAGCCGCTACCGCTGGTTGGTGGCCCGTTCTCCGCATTCAGCTCCGAAGACATGTCCTTAGAACCACTGCCCTTTCTTCCACCAAAAACAGCAGCACCAGAAGCCCAAGAAAAAGAAGTAGCAGAGATGAAAAGGAAGAGAAAGAGAGTAAATAGAAATGTATTGAGATGCATTTTTGAGTTGGGTGTTTTTTGTGTGTTTGAATTGAAGCTTCTTGTAGTTGGAAAAGCTAGCATGAGATTGTGCATGCTATTTATAATGGGGGGTGATGTGGATGCGCACAATAGCGCACCCGTGACACGACATTAAATACCTAATGATAACTGAGTCTCAGAGAGAGAGAGAAATTAGGATATGCTTTTGCCTATGCACTGCTATGTTTTTGTGGTTCAAAGGTCGGCAGTTGGGACAATTTTACCCACAATTTACAAAAACCAACCACTAAAACGACACTACAGATAAAACCCACCCACCACCGCCTTTCAAGTTTCAACTAACTAAATTATAAACATTACCTTATTCTGGGACTTGGAGGTGTAGAAATTAACGCGGGAACTTTTACAAAGTCGGTTTGGTGCCCGGGAGGGCACGTGGCAACGTAAGCATGCAAGGCAAACAGCACCATTGGAATTTGCTTTTAGTTGAGATGAGACTTGAGAGAGGGGGAGAGAGAGAGAGAGAGAGAGAAAAAGGAAAAAAGGGGCTTTTGGGCTCTGTTTAAACGGTGCAGTGGCTGCAATAACTCTGACTTTCCACATTCTTGGGTTGGAGTTTGGATGAAGTTGAAGCTCATCCTGATCCTTTAAAGAAAGAGACTTGATCTCGACACGTGTACGTCAGATCAGTGATGTCAAAGTTTGATGGGGATCTGAGGGTGGACTTAGGGCTTTGACAGTGGGCGACTCGGTTCTGGTTGTGGGCACTTGACAAAATATCTTAAGACATGTGGAATGGAATGGACCACATTGTCACTTCACTTATTCGGGGAATTTGAGGTAAATATTAAGAAAAAAATGTAATGTAATGTAAAGATGACTACATACAATACAAGGTTACCTCAAACCAAGTTGAGAGACAAATTTCTTGTTAGCTGGGACTTTGGTTTTGTCTGGAATCTAGAGAGCAATGTTAGTGCCATGCACATATTTTGCACATGCTAAAAGCTCCAATTGGGCTCAATCCCCATTAGTTTGCTATATGATCTGAGCTTTGTGCTTTTTTTTTTTAAATTTATATATATGGGCCTTTAAATGTAGGGCAGTCCTCGCTGTGACGCATTTGCCAACGCTAAAATGGGCCTAGTGATCCACAAACACCACTACACCATTGACGACGTATCATATTATTATATCATCAGATATTTTTTCATTCGGATATTTGAACGTTATTAAATGGAGAGAAGTAGGAAGGGAGATAAAAAATACATGCGTTCGAACAATAATAACATACAAATAAGTTATTAAATGGAGAGAAGTAGGGAGGGAGATAAAAAATACATGAGTTCAAACAATAATAACATACGAATAAGCTGATTATATCATATCAAATCAACGGTAAGAAAAACATTATGATTGATGGAATGGAATGACCAAATTGAAAAGTAGATCCAATCAGTTTAAAAAACATTCTCTTTGGCAAAATTCGTATTGTAGTGGGTCACTAATCGAATCCGGATCGAACAGGTTGAACCAATAACTTAGCCACATGACCCAGCCCATGCGAGAAGCACACTCAAGATTGAACCTATTGAGTTTCTATCAAAGTATACAAATGAACAATTTTCTTGCATATATTGTTTCCGCAAAAACTTTGATGCCCAGTTGAGATTAAACGACCAATAACATCCAAGTTTGCAATAGCGTTTCACAACAATTTGGGCCAATTTGGGCACAACGCAGAATATTAGATTTGCCACAACGAAGCATTCACCAGGACCCATCACATGAATTTGAATTTGAAATCGAATACAAATTAGTTTTAGTAGAAATGAAATCGTTGGGTCTCACCGAATTTGTTAATGATGATTTGAAATTACACTAAAAACATCAAAGAACAATTCTTTACAATTCTAACACAGCAACCAAGTTCATACTCGTCCGCTGAAAGCTCCAAATCAACCCTGCACAAGTTCAAAAATCATAGGGGAATATGTGTGTTATTATAAAATAAAAAAGGGCTATATGAAGTGAATACAAGAACAAATAAGAAAAATCATCATCAGAATGGAAAGTTGTTCTCATCCACAGCAAAATTTATGCTGTGTAGGAAGGTGTCCTAAGATTATTCCATATCTCATCAAATGATGAACACTGACTAACCCATCAGAACAATTTTGATATGACACAAAAACACAAAATCAAAAGCAAAACAAGAGAAGAACAATCAACTTAGATTCAGAAGTGTATCAGTTAGCATCACTCGATATTGAATATCTCAGATCAAGTGTTGGATAATATGATTGCTTCATCCCAATCTATGATCCATGACTAACTAGAATTCAAAAACAGAGAGAAAAACAACAATTACAAACATCAGACAAAAAGTCTCAAGTGGGAAAGTGAAATTAACTCAGTGGTGGCGATATAATAATTAGGTTCGATTCTGCCAGCAATTTTCCTCAACTTTAACTCAGAAGAGGGAGCTTGGTATCCTCATAGCAATTTCCTTTCCCACAAAAATTTATAATTAAAAACAATTTTCACAGAAAATCATACGAATTTCTAGGCAATCAAATGGTTGTCGACACGCAAACTTCTCAATGAAAGAGAAGCCTGCATTCCGGTCTGTTGAGCTTGAATTTCATTGGGTCATCACCGCCATCTCTTTCTCTAATCAACTCATTTGAAACAAAAACTAGAAGTCGACACATTGAAACAATTACAGGGCAATTTGGAGGCTGGGAGAGTGAAACTAAACCTAGATGAAGATAAGGGGCGGGGTTGACTGTGGAATGCGGTCGTTGGGCATCGTTTTATAGAGGCAGAGCTAGGGTTTTCGGCATTCAATGGGCCAATATTATCAACCAAACGCGCAACTAACTGGGCTTTCAAAAATATAACACTCGACCCAAAACTCAATATCTCTTTTCTGTTTCTTTTTTTTTTTTTTTCTGGGGATTCTTGTATTAATAATAGAAATAGAAACAATTTATTTTAATTAGTTGTTATGTTTTAATTATTATTTGCTTATTAAATAATTAGTATTTAAATATATTTTTAAAGAAAAATTTTAAAATTTTAAAAATTATTTATTAAATAATATAATTTGAGAAATACTTAAAACATAATGACTAATGACAGTAATTATAGCCGGTCGGCTATACTTTATGAACAGAAAATTTTAAAAGTCTCGCCGCGCGGCTGTACTCTTTAAAACGAATACATTAACAGTATAGCCGGCGGCTATACTGCATAATAGAAAATTTTAACCATATAGCCGTGCGGCGTTAGGCTTTAAATAGAATCCACTAAACGTATAGCCGCCGGCTGTACTCTGTAAATGGAAAATTTTGACTGTATAGCCGGTTGGCTAGACTTTATTTTTTTCCCCTAAAGACATCAGTACATATTGTTTTATATCTGAAGAGTTTAAGCAAGAAAGAAAATGAAGGTTGGCATTCATGGATTAGAGAGGAAGAAACGGAAGAGAGAGGAGGAGTGATGGAGGAGTAACCAAGTAGAAATCAAGAAAAGAGTGGAGAGAGAAGTTGCAGTCCCTCACTTCACTGACAAATACATATTTATTAATCTTTTCCTTTTCTTTCTGAAAAAAATAAAACACGGGTTTGGTTTGGTATTTTGATGAAGAAGAAGTACATGGTTGATAATAAAAGACGAGACAGTTTAAAGCTTGTAAGCAGAAGAGGCCTCAGATACATTTCAGTTTATCATTACCTCATCCAAATGAGATAATCAAGCGATGTAGGCAAGATATGTTTAAATCATCATTGGCCTCGCCTAATATATAACACAAAAACATTGATTGTGATTTTCCTTTGAAGATAAAATAAAACCTGAAAAGAGGAAAAGAAAAGATGACTCAAAGAGTAGGAAAATAATTCCGATCATCTCTGAGGTTTTCTTCAAACAAAAACAGAAACAGATGGGATGTGATTGTATGAATGGGAAGAGGAAATAGCAGCTTTTGGTGGCTCCGGCGGATGTAAAGTTATGTATAAGGGAAAGGTTGTTAGGGTTTGTTGAGTTTGACTCTTCAAGAAAGTCGGCACAACAGTCCATGGTCATGAATTATTTGGAAAAATTGAACTGAAACCATACCTCATTTTCCATATATCCATCCATACCGTACACATGATGCCTTATCCAGATTTTGTCATTTTATCTTGGGAGTTTCACTAAAACACCCAAAATGGAGGTTGAAATTATAAAAAAACCAAACACCCAAAACACTTTATAAACACACTTAAAACCCATTTATAAACACACCCAAAAAGTTGACTTTGATGTTGATTTTGGGTGTGTTTCTATATTTAAATAATGCTTGAGTTTTTTTATAAATACATGTCTAGGATTGGGTTTATTTATAAATTTGTATTTTATCTTTGGGTGTTAAGAAAAATAAAGGGAAATGCAGTCCACTCAAAATTCTGTTTCCCCAAAAACCAAAGCATTTATGTATTTTCCATCGCTCTCTTCAAATGTTAGGTAGCTTTTACACGAGTGCTCTCCACATTCAGTTTCAGTGCTCAATTTTCTTTTTAATTTTTTGTATTTTTTTTTTAAAATTTGTCTTCACTTGCCTCGTTCCACACACACAACTAAACTCAGAGAGTTGTTCTCCGCTTTCTTTGGAACTAGTGAAAGCTGAAGAAAAAAACAGAGCTCCCTGCTTTCTGTTTTCTGGGTGCTTCTTAGAAAGCGAGAGAGAGATACAAAGACATGCTCTGTTCGGGTCGACTTTTGGCGGTTTAGTTTCCAGCAAACCGGTATTTTACGTACAATTTACAGAGCTCCAGCTCCGGATTCAGCTACGCAAGCCGCAAATCGAGCTCTATAAATGGAAACTTTAAACAGTATACTCGGACGGCTATACGCCATAAATAGAAAATTTTAAACGTATAGCCGCGCGGCGAAACTCTTTAAATAGAACTAAAGGTATAGCCGTTCGGCTAGACTTTTAAGCAGAAACTTTTACAAGTATCGCCGCTCGGCTATACTCTATAAACCGTATGGATATACCGTTTAAATAGTATAGCCGTCCGGCTATACCCTCTACATAGCATAATCAGAATTTCTCTTTTTTAATTACTTTAATTAGTTGTTATGTTTTTATTATTATTTACTTGGTGAATAATTAGTATTTAAATATTTTATGGAAAAAAAATTAAAAAATTAAAAACTATTTATTAAGTAATATAATTTGTGAAGTTAATGAAAATATTTAATGGTAATTATTCACTAAAGAAATAATAATTAAAAAATAATTACTAATGAAAGTAATTAAATAAGGCTAAGAGATGGCAACGGGTTGACTCAAAAATCATGATTGACGCTCTTTGTAATCAAACAAGTCCAGATGTGTTGTTTGAGGGGCATTTTTCATGACATTGCACTGGTTTCTTTTCAGCATAATGGTTCGCACACCCTTTCATTGGCATATGATGGCCTCATAGTTTAACATGGTTGATCATAAGAGACGAGACAGTTTAGAGCTTGTGAGCAGGAGAGGCCTCAGATACATTTCAGTTTATCATTATCTCATCCAAATGAGATACTCAAGCAATGTAGGCAAAATATGTTTAAATCATCATCGGCCTCACCTAATATATAACTAAAACATTGATTGTGGTTTTCTTTTGAAGATAAAATAAAACCAGAAAAATCTGAAATCTGAAATCTGAATAGAGAAAATGACTCGAGAGTTAGAAAATAATTCATTGGAAAAATAAATAAACAGAGGCAAGATGGAATTGCAAAGCTTTGATCGAATCGAGAAGCACTGCATTCCGATCATCTCTGAGGTTTTCTTCAAACAAAAACAAGAAACAGATGGAATGTGATTGTGTGAATGGGAAGGGGAAATGGGAGCTTTTGGTGGCTCCTGCGGCGGATGTGAAGTTATTTATAAGGGACAGGTTGCTAGGGTTTGTAAAAGAGAAGGAGCGAACGCGCGTTTTGAGTTTGACTCCTTCAAGTGGGTTGGCCAATCATCACCGTCGGATCAAAGATGGTTTTGATTGTCAAATGTAGGGAACCCGGTTCGACCAAAACAAAATAAATTAATTAAAAAAACCGTGTATAGCCGATCGGCTATACTATTCCTTTTTAAATATTAAAAACCCATTATAGCCGCGCGGCTATACTATTTCATTGAATAAACATCAGGAAAACTGCGTATAGCTGTTTCTTTAAAAATATAGTAAAACCGAGTATAGCCGCACGGCTATACTATTCCTTTTAAAAAAATTAAAAAACGAGTATAGCCGGCGGCGGTACTATTTCTTTAAAAAAAAATTAGAACTCGGTATAGCCGGCCGGCTAAACTGTTCCTTTAAAAAATTAAAAACTGCGTATAGCTGTGCGGCGATACTATTTCTTCAAATTATTTTAAAAAAACCGAGTATAGCCGCCCGGCTATACCGATTCTGAAGTCACCGTTCAGTTTCTTGGAGAAAATGTGTGGGAGGGCTCGCTGTAATCTCAGAGCCGACGACATCCCTAGGGCTTGCCACCACAGCCATGGCCCCGTCCATACAGTTAACATGGACCAGTGAGCAAAACTCAAAACTCCTCCTATTTTTTTCCTTTATTAATTTCTAATTCGAACTTTAGTTTTCTCCTACCTTCTTAGCAACCAAACAGATTTCCTTGGGTGTTATTGTCTCTTTGATTGCTTAATCTTACTAATTGAAATGAATTTTTTGGTATGCGCTTAGGTTTCGCCCGTTGTTCAATGTGTCGCCGAGGTAGAATTTGCCTGTTGTTCGTAAAGAAGACGAAGCAAACGGCGGCGGCTTGTTGTTCATTGTATGAAATGAGGGCTAATCAGTTTCACAAAGAAAACCGAGAAGCCCGATCACTATAAGATGGTAATCGCAGTCACATTTGTCTTTCTTAAAATTTCAATCTTGATTCTCCATATAAGCAAGCTTGGATTGCGTTGAGATGTGATTTGAGTTTTTTTAAAAGGGGGTCTAGCCGTTCGGCTATACTATTTCTTTGACAGGAGTATCGCCGCGCGGCTATACGATTTCATAAAAAACAATTTTTAAAAACCGAGTATGGCCCCATGGCTATATGATTTCTTTAAAAAACTTTAAAAATAGTATAGCCGCGCGGCGATATTATTTCTTTTAAAAGAATTATAGAGACCGAGTATAGCCGCCCGGCTATACGATTTGTTGAAAAAGAAAAACCGAGTATTTCATCAAAAAACATATAGAATCAGTTAGTAGCAGTAAAAGGCTCATGAATTTGTTTGGAAGGATTAAGCTTCAGCATATACATAGAGAGAGGAATGCTGTGGCTGATCGTTTGGCTACTTGGAGTCACAACTTGAATCTGGGCTGCTGCTTTTTTGAGGATAGTCCTGGGGTTTGGTGTCTGGGGGTTTTCCACCTTTCTTGATAAAAGAAAGACATATGGAATCTCTTAGAGCTTAGTGAAGGGCCTTAATCTTTATCAGTTAGTGCTCTTCCTCGTGGAACTGAGAGGAAGCATCATAAGGGATATGAGGAGGTCATTCCCCCAACACCAACAGCACAAATGAA